ACCCCCCCCCCCCCCCCAGCCCCCCCCCGGGTTTTCGTCGCTTGGCAACGACGTTGTAAAACAAGCCGCCCCCCCCCGGTGTTTGCCATCGGGGTTTGGGTTTTCGTCGCGTGGCAACGACGTTGTAAAACAAACCCCCCACTCGGTGTTTGCCATCGGGATTGGGTTTTCGTCGCTTGGCAACGACGTCGTAAAACAAGCCAATTCACTTCGTGAACTCGGCAACCAGGTTACCGTCTTTTTTTTTTACCTCTGGTTTTTTTTTTGGCGGTAACCATAATGGTGGTCGAGTAGATCATGTTGTGCGGGGTCGAGAAACCTCACTCCGCGCAACGGGGGATGATCGCACCACGTTGTGTTAAAATGGTCAAGCTTCCTCGAGGCAGTTACACAGTGCTAATAACTGTCTCTGGAAGTGAAAGCACCAGAAAATAAATTAAGTCATACGTAGCTGTCATCCGTACGCAAGGAAGTAAGCACAAGATGCCGAACACCCTTAGCAGGATGCAGCTCACCCTTCATGCGACTCGCCAAATACCTCACGGCGCTTCGCGCTTGGTGATGTGAGAGCCTGGTCCGGTGAGAACCCGGCGTGTTCCGTCCCGGCTTTGTAGGGATGCGAGGTCAATGGTCAAACGATTACGGCATGCACGACTATGAGTACACCCCCCCCCCCCAGCCCTCTTCGAGCAGGGAGGGATGTGTGTGTGTGTGTGTAGACGTGGTTTTTTGCATCGAGTGCGGTACATAACCGGCTGACAATTAAATAGACGCCAGTCTTTGTGTGCGACTGTATTCAATAGAGACGGTTCTAAACGCCATGACCTGGGACCCGGGATATAACGGAAACGCCAGGCTATGTGTGCACGTGTGTTTGGCCGAGACCCGCTTGCCAGTTCCGAGCTGCGCGAGCACGTGCTCTGCCGAGGGGCGCGCGCGGTGTCATCGATCACACCGACGAACCACAATTGCAACTGCCCCCTTCGCTCCGTCCCGACGGATGCGAGGTCACCTATCTAACGACTTGATGTACGGCATGCGTTTACATGAGAGAGAGTACACCCCCTCTGTAACTACATGTCCCCCCCCTCCCCCGAACTTACGCGTCTTATTCTCTCTCTCCGGAAACCGTCGCGAAATCGTGCCGACAGATGCGCCGAGTGCCAGTCGGTGTTTCGCCCCGTCCTTCAGCGTCGAAGGCACCACTGCCGCAACTGCGGCCGCCTCGTGTGCACGACCTGCGCGTTGCGCTTCTGGCCCAAGCACATGCTCCCGCACTCATACAGGACAAGCAGGTGGGTTTTGTTGTTGGGAAGGTGGTGTTTTGTGTGAGGGGGGATTGTTTTCTTTGGTAGATGCGTTTTTTTTTTGCTATTTGCCTGCGGAGGAAGGCGGTGATATGAGAAAGGCGCAAAGGGTTTTTAATAGTGCATGTTTTTTTTGTTTTTTTTTTGGGGGGGGTGGGGTGCGGAGCTGTTCCTCCCTCCCGCGTCTGTTTTCTTTTGTTCCGTCTTGTCTAACATCCGACAACGCTTGAGCGGCGTTTGATTTGGGTCGATCGCATTACTTCTCGGCTGTTCGATAAAGAGACGGAGACAGAGAGAGACAGAGAGACACAGACACAGACACAGACACAGACAGACGCAGGCACAGACAAAAATACAGAGGATACGGAGTGGAGAGAGAGGCCGACCGTCAGAAATGTGGGGATACTTGAAGTATTTTACTCTTCTATTGGAGAATAAAAATCGTGGTCGATACCAACACCATGGTTCGTTCGTTGAGGTATCAGAGACAGGGAAGGACGCAGCCGGCCCCATATATCCACCGGTGAAGAGGAGCTAGAAAAACGCCTCCTTCCGTGTTTGGGGTCTTGGTCAGCCGGTTAGTGCATTTTATGAAGCATGCACGCAGAGGCAATAACCTAGCATTTCCCATGACGCCCCCTGACGGGGCCCCAGATCGTGGCCTTTGGGAGCGCTTTCTGTTTCCGGCCGCGCTGATATCCGCGTATTTCGTTGGTCAACCGGTTAGCGCGGATCGATGGTACTTTTGTGAAACACACACATGCAGGCAATAAGCTAGCATCTTCCTGACGCCCCCTCACGGGGTCCCAGATCATGGCCTTAAGCAACGCTTGCTATTCTACTGGGACTCAAATATTTTCATTGGCCACCCGGTCGATGCTAACCACAAACGCACAACAACAACGCGCCTAATCTTGCACAGCACGGAGAGGAGAGTGCGAGTGTGCCGCACGTGCTACTCGGTCGGCAAGGCCTTCCGTCGAGCGCTTTTGCGAGGGTCTTACCAGGGAGCGATGGAGGCCCACGGCACCGGCTGCGTCAACCTGCGGGCTCCGTTCAGCGACAGGGAGGTGCGGTGGCCGGCGGTGACGGCGTAAGCCCTTTCTCTTTGCTGGCGTCATGCACCCGTACTAACCCTAACCCTAACACCCCTAACCCTAAACCTAACCCTAACAACCCTAACCCTAACCCTAACCCTAACAACCCTAACCCTAAACCTAACCCTAACAACCCTAACCCTAACCCTAACCCTAACAACCCTAACCCTAACCCTAACATGACGCTTTCGACGCAACGGGCGTCGGCGGCACTTGCCCTACTTTTTTGCCGGCGTTGCGCACCCTTCACGTCTACGGCGCACGCCCTTCTTTTGTTGGTGGTTGGAGTTTGTCTCTAGTTGGCGTCTTCTGGGAACCCGTGCACATGACACACTACACCAACCCCACGTCGGCAGGTACTGGTGCCTGAAATGGCATCTTCGGGCCGTCATGATCCCGTAGGTATTTGTACCACACATTTAAATCCTCTCTCGTTGTAAAAATAAGAAAAAACTTTGTAGAAGGAACACGGACAGTACTACAGCTCCTGTGTGGACCCTGGCTGGTGCCCCTCGTAGTTGCACCAAAAGGTTCAAGGACCTACGACCAGAAAACAGTGTTTTGTTTCTTTTCTTTTTTGTCTTGACTTCAATCAGCGCTCAACCTAGCTGTGCCATTTATTCCGACGAAATAGTGTGGGGGGTGCTACCCTGCCCATTGACCCCACCTCTCTGCCGCTGCTGACTGTCCCAGGACTCTGCTCTCTGTCTGCCCGTGCCCATATCGAGTGTTTGACACGTTATTCCCCCGGTCGCCGACGTGCACGCCGTTGTTGGTTTGAGCCCCGACCGTATGGTTTGCTTTGTACGGTATTTCACTCGTCCTCGGCGTGTTGTTTTTTCCCCGTACCCCTTGTCTGGCAGCTACCGGTACACTGCGCCGCCGCTGGAGGCAACGTGAGCCTGATGATGTGGCTCCTGGAGGATCGCTGCTGCCCGATATTCATGGACGATGAGAAGACTGTGAGTGTCGCCCGCGGGGATGTGCGAGATTTGTGGGACGGAGGGGGTGGCTCACGATGTGCAGCAACGATTTGGAATGTGATTGATTGATTGCCCCCGCTGCGCACGAATATCTTCGGTTGGGATCGATTTTTGGAGAGCGTATATGGCATGAACGTCTGTTGGGGTTGTGGCCGCCCTTTCCCCCCCCCGCTTCATCGATGGGAGCGTGGTTTGTCTGTGTCTTTTCTCCGTCTATTATCTCTGTCTATCTGTGCGTCTTTATTCTGCCTGTCTGCTGGTCTGTCTGTGTGGCTGTCCACCCCCCCCGCCCTGTGTTTCATATACCTACTCTTGTTTTCGTCGAAGCCTTCGTCTCATAGCTCTTATTTTCTGTGGGTCTCTTAGATTCCGCTGCCTTCCCCCATGCCTTATTCGCTTGTTGTTGTCTTCCCGAACCAAACAGATGCCCCATCTGGATGGGGCGGGAAGGAGCGTGATGGCCGCAGCCGCTGACAGCGGCCGGGTGGAGATGATGCGCTACCTTACCTTCACCCAGGTTTGTCAATTTCACCTTTTTGTCTTTGGCTCTGTTGTTGTTGTTGTTGTTGTTGTTGTTGTCCTGTGCTTCACGACCCGCGCATCTTTTCTTTCCAGCAGTGTTGGTCCATGCTTCAGGCCGCATTGTACCAAGGGGTTTGGCCGGCCTCGTTTCCGGTATTGAGACAAGCTGAACATGCCATCGGTGTCACGCGATTTCATGGTGCCACCGGCCTTACATTTGCGGCCTTACATATGACCACTTGTCTGTACATGGGAGATCGAAAAAATGGGCCTGTAAGTGTTCAGGGTGAACTTGATCTGCCAAGTAGGAATCAACGTGCCCATGAGAGGAAGACACACCCCGCACGTAATGGGGAGTGGAGAGAGAGGCCGACCGTCAGAAATGTGGGGATACTTGGAAGTATTTTATTCTGCTGGAGGATAGATCTAGTACCAACGACAGCACCTGTGCTTTTGAGAGTTTTCGTCGTCAACGAAAGATATTCGCATCGTGCATCCGGGTGTTTGGGTGACCGTCACCGGCCAGGACCGCCGGCGAGGGCACGGTTCCGACACGGTCTTTCCATGGCTCGTTCCGGCTATATTTTCGGCGTTCAACCCTCCAGCCGGGGCAAACGAAACCACAGAGGATGACGTTTTTCCTGCCCCTCCCTCCCTCCCGCTCGCGCGCAATTTTGGGTTCGTTCACGCATGGATGGACGCCCAATTTGTTTTTTCGAAAAAACTCTACTATTAACGCAGCCGTCAGCTGCGTCGGGCATGGGCATGGCTCCGTTCTGGCGCGGGCTGCAGGCATGCCTTAGGAACGACGAAGACAAGCATGATGACGACCGCGGCCGCGGCCGCGACAGGGCTCCCCTTGAGGTACGTCCCCCCCCCCTCACCCGATAAAGAGCTACCCCTGTCAGCTAGCTCAAACTGAAGTCTCCCGATGAGATACCCTTCCCTCCCCCCAAAATATAATCCGTGACGTCAGTCATGGCGGTTGGCGCGGCCCCGTGGGTGACTTCTCGCAAATGGCGCTCTAGATTCTGTTGTGCCCAGTCGGTAGAGATCATGGCGCAGGCACCTGCTTCTTTCCCGTTGTCAGTCTGACGCCGTTTCTTGCCTGCCACTCATGGCGCGCTTTGTAAGTTATCTGATTGTTAGCCTTGTATAGGAACTTGTCGGGATACAAGTAGGTCTTGCCTGGTTGGTGCGCGACTCGCTGAAGCGAACGCAAGTCCTCCCAAAAGAGTTTTCGATCCTTGTTTGTGTTTGTAGCTTTTCTGTTGAAGGTAACCACGCCGCCTAGCGCCGAGGACCCCTCGCCCCCCAACCCTGAAGCGTAATGCTGCCTCTTCCAGATAGTAGTAGTATGTTTTTTCTTTACATCAAGTGCCTCAAGCGGGCGATGGTTGTTACACATACGCCGTGCCATCCATACTTTGTTTCATTCTGCTGGGCACCACATTTCGACAAGAAATATTACTTTCTATTGTATGTAACCCACAATATGGTGCCTTGAAACCGAAACTCGCAGGGAACGTCCCATCCCGAACCGAAGGGACGGGGTGGCAGCCGAGACGCAGGCGGCGGCGATGACGGCGGGAAGAGCTGCTACCCCGTAGGCAGCAGCGCCGACCGCAACCCGGCCTGGCGCAGCAACGCCCCCGGCTCCGCCGTAGGCGGCGGCAACGGTAGCGGCGGCGTCGAAGGATGTGACACTTTTTTAGCCGGGATGAGGGCGGGAGCCGGCGGCGGCGGAGGCGGCAGTGGCACCGGCGACCGTGACCCCCTCCAAGCGGCGCTTGAGATGTCCGTCGTCGAAGCCGGCTACTCGATCTACGAGTTGACGACCGGGAAGGACGGCAGTGGCGGGGACGACGGCGGCGGCGGTGGCGGCATGAAAGGGAAAAACGCCTGCATCGTGAGTACACGGGTCTGTGTGTCGTTTGAGCTGCCGGTGACTGGTGTGCACGTGGCTGTTCCTTGGTCAGGTTTGATGCGTGACTTAGGGGGAAAAATGTCTACAACGGGCGTGAGTGATGCATTGTACCTTGGGTGGCTCGAATGTTCTCAGCGGCAAGAGACTCACTCTGTCCTTCAGCCTGCTCGGTGAAATGGGGCGTTCACCGATGATGGGCTAAAGCTACGGTTGGAAACACCATATCGGTTCGAAACACCACCACATTGTGTGGCGAGGTATTTACATGCGAGCAGACAGGTGATTCAGCAATCTTTGGCGTGGTCTAGTCGATGACACATGTAGGTATCTCGTCCCACAACTCTTTCGCTTAATATACAGTCGTTCTTACCGATAATTTATCTGCTAGATCGCGAAACACTGCACGGCGCGCCGCCGTACGTAAGCTGGGTACACTTGACCCCCCGCTCCGGGGGGGGCGTGCGCCGAGCCGACCCCGTCCTCTCATGGCCGGTCTCGAAAGGGACGTCCGTACAGCGAAGCTCGTATCTGTCAACGCCAGCGACGAGTTCGCGGCAAGCTTTTCCCGACCGCCATGGGGCCGTCTCATTGGCATCGGGATACTGTATTTCAAGGTGTCATGAAATAAGACGCGTTCAGCCCACCCTCTCGCAGCGAAAGGGTACGCGCTCAATCAGCACCATACAGGTGGTATTTATTTGTTTATTTTTTTTCGGAGCACGCGAAGTGTTTTAACCTCTCACCCTCTTGCCGTCTTCTTTCTCGCGTTTTGATTGGTCGGCCGCCCCTCCCGCAGGTGTGCTTCGACCGGCCGGTCAACTGCACCTTCGTGCCCTGCGGCCACCACTGCTGCTGCATGCCCTGCGCGGAGTCAAAGTTAAACCTGTGCCCCGTCTGTGGCGTCGCCATCGACAAGAAGATCAAGACCATCAGTGCCTAGTGGTGGGGACCCCCCCCCCCCC